CGCACCATTAGGCTTGGGACACCTCAGCCGCTTAATTAGTCGCAGAGACAGCTAGCGAACCCGGATGTCATCGCTACGTATGGCAATCACAATTCGCCGAGAAATGATGCGTGTTTATACACGGGCCCTTGTAGTAATAACGTAGCATTCACCGGATATGTTGGATTTTTAGTAAATGTTTTACTTTTTGTTAATCAAATAAAAGATAATTGTTTTTGGACGAGTGTACCAAAATGAAATAGTTTTTTTTTAAATTTTTTATATATACTTTTTTTTACTTTTTTGCGTTGCTACATACGTAGTAAAAAATAAAGTATTATAATTGTGCGGCAGAAATCAGCGTGTTTTTTTTTTTTTTTTTTTTTTTTTTTTTTTTTTTTTTTTTTTTTTTAAGAAAAGCTGTTATTATCGGGCCTTGATAGCGAAAAGGTGGACAAATCTTTAACATAAACGTAGGCAATTACTTCTAACACGTTGTGAAGTCAGAATCCACATTTTGTCCTTGATACAGCAAATTCGATTGACGGCAAAACGTCTGTGATCATCGCTTACCGTTCAGACGATTTTCTCGAAATTTGATATTCGCCCATCGATCTTGTCACACTCTAGACCCTGCGAGTTTGAAACAGATATTTCGATTTTGGGGCTTCTTTACATGAAGTCTCAGCATTTTCAGAATTTTCTCAAAAATTGTTCCATTTTTTATTTCACTTTGTCCCCGTATGGTGTAAAGAACACTTAAAAATGGCGCAAGTATCATTTTCTTGAAAGTTATGAATTTCCGAAAAAAAAATGCGAAAGTTTTTATTGGGAGGGGGAGGGGGGCTACTTCCTTCAACCACCTTTCTACAACCTGGGAGTTAGATGTTTTTTCCTTCATTTATTTATTCTTCAGAGACATCTGTAAATATGTACTTTTTCGAAAATATGAGTAGTCGCGTAATGTTGCGTGAAATACAGGCAATTTTTAAAGACTGATTGTCTCAAAAACGGCTCCATCTTTTCTTTAACTTCTTTCCTCGTATGTAGGGAAGGACGGTAAAAAAGTGGTAATGGTCCTGTTTTCGGCAAACGCTTTTCGAAAATTGCAACAACAAAAAACAATATCGCTGTTATTTCGGTCAAACTTCTATCTCGCTGACAAGTGTATGAAGGAATTAAAACATTATTATTAAACTTTTAATTATTGGTTATATCTTGAGATGACTCAAACTAATCTCTCGAGGAGGGATAGTATTAGCAGTTTATTGTATCCCTCAATGATTTACGCACAGAACATTTGTTAAAATATGATGTTCATTTAGTTGCATCTAAACATGTGGCTAAACATTTTATGAAGCTATGTGGCAATATGATTTCTTAAAATTTAACTTGGAATTGAGTATGTACGAAGTATGTTTTAGCGAGTGAGACTTCAATCTAACAATAGTACGGGGAAAATTTGAAATTATTTACAGAAAGCTTGACATTTTCTCATCTTTATTCTCCATAATTGTGGTAATGAAAAAAGAATGTGTTCTGCCTAATTATTAAATTTACACAATGTCTTTTAACAGTCAATGCTGTGGCAGACAGTTCAGATAGAATCTACTCTGTACGTAAAGTCGTTGTTTTCCATTCTTTAGCGCCTACAGCGTGCCTTCCTTTTGAAGTTTTACCGTTACTTGTCTCGGAACTCACTTGGGGAGTGTGCTGTTTGCCCAATGTTTCATATTGTGCGCACGAAAATAAGCCGAAAACAAATTCTAATTGGTTTAAGCGTCTGTATTATATGGTTGTTTAAAGTAGCAAATCTTAATTATTTTCACGGTTCAGTTTCGCTGGTCACTTCAGAATATACATATTTCTATACGCAATTGATGGCCGACACCTTTGTTCGAAGAGTGTCGGTTTTTTGTCTGTACATGCAACTTTAGGTTTTTTTGATAGTTTTTATCATTTTAGTTTCTTTCATTATTCAATTTTACCATTTTGTAATTTGAATTTTCGCGTTTGAATTTTTCATCAAATTCAACTTGAAAATTGAGCGCCATACTTAATGCATAGGTAATTTCCCTTGCGTAACCTAAGCTATTCATAATTCTTTACAGTTATAAAATGTCAAAACATCGGGTCATTCTTTAGCGATTTTAGGTATAAAATACAGGTCTTTGGCAAGGGAAATCTTAGCATTTGGGTAGTCTTTCATTAGATCAAGCCACTTCATTCCGATAATTTAAATATTGTCATTGCAATGCATGATTCAGAATAATCTAAAACTCATTTAAATGAAGATAAAATATTTATTGAACATCTTCATCGGTAGCTGTTTTTTTTAAGTGCCGCCGATGTTTGGTTTGTTAATGTCTAGTTCTTGACCTATGGACTACATAACAAATTCTCTATTAGTTTTAATTTAATTTTGATTTAATACTGCCACAGAAAAATATTTGTAGGGGTGTGAAATATATAAAATTAAATTTGCTTTACCAAGACTACAGTTTTTTTTTTCATTTACCCTATTCGCAGTATACTTACTCTAAGTACACTAGCATACGACGCCCTTCATCTCTGTATTTCCTGTTCAAGGATTTTAACTCTTTGGAATAGGATTGTTTACACAAGACTTCGAAACTTGATATCTTCGACACCTCCATATAATATTAGACACTTGCGTTGTTGAACAGGTACTGGAAGGACCGGCAAAATCTCAATTCTTTTAACTTGCCCAATTTACAATGTATGTTAGATACCCATCTGTCTTCAAAATTGGCCATCGCCGTTAATTTAGTCAGATTCTGTAAAAATGGTGAATGAAATGAGGGATGTTTTTAATTGATTTTCCCATATTCGAGCAGCGTTGCCTCCTGGCTGTCGGTTGGTGACAAGTAAATGATAATTGGGAAGATAAGAAACTAAACTCCAAAACATTACGTGAGGTTTTGCTAAAAATATTTGACAAAATTCTGGGCGTTCAGTGGCAGTAGTGCACGATCCGAGACAGTGGAAGATGTCACAAAAGGTCGTTATTTTTGAGAGCAATACGGAGTGTGAAAGTGTCGTCAGCCATCATTAAATAATAAACATTTTATATAATCATGCAGTTTAGTCTTCTGTTCTGGGATAAAATAGTTTTTTTTTCTAATTTCCTTGCTAAGAAAGTCTTAAAATTGGAAATCTCTGTAACTTATTTTTTGTCCAAGGAGGTATTCAACATCGTCAAGTTTTACTATTTCAGAAACACACTTCAACACTAAAACAACAAATAAATATGAACACATCTAAATATCCTCCGTTTCGTAGCTATTACAGAACGCAATTTAGAGCAAATAACGGACATGGTTGAAATTTGTCAGCCGAGGTTATTTCATTTATTTCGATTGTTCTTAACGGGTGGCAGGCTCACATTCTTAACAGACGCAGGACGTTAAGTGGCATTTCGTTTCTCTTTGGTTAAGTCGGTATAACCGTACAGTATTTATGAAAACGTTTTTTCATACGCACTGATCTGCCTGATGCATACTAATAATGTTTACTATGAAACTGATGCTTGAATCCACATTCTCGCTCCGGCTAGACCATGGAAATTGTTTTGATTGGTGCTTTGCTTGATTGCCGCATTTGAATCCTGTGGATGTTTATCTGTCGAGACATTTGAAATTCTTGGTTTATGCAACTCTCGTATCTGGTGTTAATATCTTGAGACAGTATATCCAGAATAGAATTGAACAAATATGGAACACTCGTGGGGGTTTCAGCAGTGTGTCAAAGCATGCTGTGAATGGTCTCGTTGATACACGTTGTTCAATGTATGCATACAAATCGTTTTTCTAACAATGTTGCCGAACATGCATTTAAACTAATAAGATGTTTAATACAGTCCCACAGTTGTACCATTAGCAATAAGGTTCTGTATCTCTGAAATCAAGACGTTTCAGACCTATGATATATGTTTGTTGATTTTTGGAAGGCGTTCTTGAAATCTTTGATATTTATTTACACCTTGTATAATATTATATTGTATTATCATGTGGGTATGGTGCTTTGGGTTCATTTCGGAGCAACTTTGAAATTTGTAAAGAAAATGTTGCATGCGAAACGAAGATTTTTTTCTCAGTTTTAACCACAAGTGAAACAAGCCCCTTTTTTCAATGATCCTATTGTTTTCTCGTGCGTATGCGTCCGGTCGAACCTCCCCAATGGTTGTATCTTGTTTCTGCTTTTTGTTTTGCTTTTTGGTTTTGCGTTAGTTGTTTCCTTCCCTAACCTTCCTATTTGCGGTAGTTTTCTCGGCGTATTTCTTGACATCATTAGCCATGATAACGTTGTTTGTTCTTTCAAATTTTGCTTCTAGTTTATCCTTTCCCGCCTACTTTCTTCCGTCGCTAATTCTGCATGCTATTATTCTTTTCTCCTTTTCTGTACCGCCACTCCTTTGTGAGCTTATTTGTGTGTTCGATTGCCTTATTCCTCTCCATTTTTTTGCTGCCTTGTTTGATTGCACTGGTGTGTCGGCTTTCGGCCGTTTTTGCCTCCACCTTGCCCTCGGGCGCTGACGCTGTCGTTTGCCCACAGACAATCACCGGCGCCATGAGCACCCTCACGCCGCCCATCCCCCTGGAGAAGGCCTCGAACCAGAGCCGCGTGGACTACATCCAGGACGTGGCCTCGCAGCACGACTTCGACTATCCGCCGGTGAGTGCCAGGCCACGCCTACACAACGCGAACGAGATCTTCGAATCCATTCAGTTTACGTCTCGTGAGATAAATGACATGGATTTTGAAGATGCAAGGCTCGTGTATATGTGTTTAAAAATTTTGCGCTCTGTCTTTGTAACCATTATGTATTGATAAGTTTTGAGGTGTAAAAATAATGATTTCGGTTCAATTTGCAGAAGTGAAAATTGAAATTAGTTTTAATATGCGTTTTTGGGCGGAAAGTGTCGTTAACATCTCGATTTATTCCACTTACAGTATTTACCGATGTATTCTGTCGAAAACTGTTGACGTTGAATGCGTTTTTCGAGGTGTGCGGAACGTCAGTGTAGGTGTTTTGGGCTCCACTGTTTTGAAAGTTGTTAGCAGCTTCCTTGCGCTTCACGATTAAAACTAGGTAGAAGACTAGGGACTACCTTACTTCATGAAGTAGTTTTCTTTCCTGTAGGAGCAATTGTGCCGACTACACAAAAATCGTTTCCATTCATTATGACTATCCGTTTTCCAGTTTCAGGAAAGGAAATTGAGAAGACTAAAATTGATACTCCCCAATCGATCTGGGCGAACTCCAGGCACTGCGAGTTTGAAACGAATACTATTTACAGTTAAAGTATACTTTAAATGGGTATACTTTATATAAAACCTAAACATTTCAAAATTTTCTCAAAAAATGCTATTTTTTTAATTAAAATTTCTCCTCGGATAGCGTAAAGGACGCTGATATGACTGGTGCAGGTTTCATTTTCGTCGAAATCTTTGAATTTTAGAAATATGCAAATTTTCGGCATCTTCCTACAAGTACACTGAAAAAAATTTGCAGTACAATGTACTAAATGTATTTAGTAAGCGATCATGTAGTAAATTCAATTATTCCTGTAGTAAGATTCAGGAAACATGATTTAGTTTCATTTAGTAAATTAGAGTATTGAAATCGTAAGTGAATGAACAGAGAATTGTCAGAGGTACCATACTTATTTCGTAGATAAAATCATTCCCTGAGGTCTACGTTTCATGTCGTCACCCTACTAAACACGGTTTAGTAAGCGTGCGTTTTCAGCCATCAGTCCAATTGGAAAGGTTATAGAGTCCATGTGAAGTGTGAGAATTCAACGCTCTATATACAATTATATGCTATATAAATGGCTTGTTTAGTATTGTATTGATTTTAAATAATTAGTATGTTATATTCTAAACTGACGGTAGAAATGTCGACGGTAGACAGAAGTCGGCAGCCTGTCTTCGCAACTGTTCTGCTTGGCTATGGTGTGTCAGTTAAACGAGGTAAAGGAAATACGAGTCCTCGGGCCCGTAGGATGGGTGACCGCTCCGGGACCACTGTTGTTTCCTGCCTGAAGGAATAGTGAGAAAGTATTCCCTTTGACATGTCGTTTACTCATTTTCACTGCAAGTGTTTAGTAAATTTTATTCAGTGTATTATTCAACACAACGATTTGTTTAACAAGATGCCATTCGTCACAGGTACGTCCTGTTTAGAGAACATTACTACACGTGTATTAAGGTGTTTAACTAAACAGTAGTTTCGTGAACATAACTAAGCACTTTGTTCGTCCAAAATTTACTCAACCCTATAGTTGAATATACTTCATGAAAAATTAAAAAATATCTCCAAAACAATCCAAATTGTTCCTTTAATGTTTTTCCTCCGAAATAGCGAAGAACGCTTAAAAATGACACAGGTCTAGTTTCCCTTGAAATATCTGACTAATCGAAAACTCCTCAGAAGGATGTGAGAAAGAGGCTGCTATTGTTGTTCCACTGGTTAGTTTTTAACTTGAACTGTCCTCGTTTTTTTAAGGAAAAAAAATAACCTCTTCGGCGAAGATACATTTATAAATGGTTATGTTTTAACGATGCTTATGTATAAAAGTAATTTCCAGGAAAATCCTTTTCCAGAATTAAAAAAAAAATATTCGGAGGACAATAAAATGGAAATGAACAATCGATCTGTTAAGGGAGG